CCCCTTCTGGGGGCGGTTCTCTGAAGGATGCCTGCACGACTCGTGCGAGAATGGCCGGAACTCGAACTCGAACTCAAACTTTGGCAGACCCTCCTGGGGGCTCTCGGAGGATGTCCCGCTCGCAGTCGTCGCCCCTTCCCCCCGCCCTCGCCTCCTGCACGGGGGCCGGCGTCTCGGGATGATGGACGACATGAGCGTCAAGAGGGTGCTCTTGTCCATCGCCCCGACGCACACGCGGAACTACATCGTGCCGGAGCTGAAGGGGAACCTCACCGAGCCGGACCCGGGGCGGCCTTGCACTCCTCTCCGTCGGGGCTCCGCGGGCGAGAGCACGCCACGCGCTCTCTCCTCCTCCTCCGCCTCCGCCTCCTCCTTCTCCTCCTCCTCCTCCTCCTCCTCCTCCTCCTCCTCCTCCTCCTCCTCCTCCTCCTCTTCTCCTCCTCCTCCTCCTCCTCCTTCCCTCCTCCTCCTCCTCCTCCTCCTCCTCCTCCTCCACCTCCTTCCCCTCCTCCTCCTGCTCCTCCTCCTCCTCCTCCTCCTCCTCCTCCTCCTCCTCCTCCTCCCCTCCTTCTCCTCCCCGGGAAGTCCGGGAGTCCGGGAGCCGCCTTCGGACCGGTCCTGGGATGTAGCTGGGAGGTCTTGGGGCCTACGATCGGGCGGGGCCAGGATCGGGACAAGTTGTTCTGGAGCGTGCTGGAACGCCCTCAGGGCGTCCCGGAGCGCTTTGGAGCGGTCGCGGCGCCCGATATACTGTAGCCTCCACAACTGCTGGCCCCGGTTTGCCCCAGTCCGATTCTGGTCCTGGCTTCATCTCACGTCTTCGAGCCACCAGGACACCAGGGAGTTGCCCAGGACGTGGTTGGTCGGGGAGTTCTTGGGGCCCGCGAGCGTAGACTTAAGTGGGGCGTGCCCAAAATAGACAAATACTCTGGAGACGATGTTTGGCTACTTTTGACTTTTTGGTGTATGCGTTGAGTATTTGTCATGTTTCGTCAAAAAAACCCTTGTAGGGGGACGGGCCCGACCTAAGCGTAGACAAGCAGAGACGTCGGGGGTGCAGTCGCAGAGTGCGGCGTGCCCCGCCTCGGCGCGGTATAGCAGCGCGGGCGTCCAAGTTTGGGGGCCACCGCCAGCTCCTCCTGGTTGGGCCCCCCTGGCGGCGGGGACCGATCAAGACCGATCATTGCAGGCGTCGTCCGACGCGAGGCAAAGGGGTCCTGCCAGGGCACCTCTGGCTCAAAGGGCCCCGCCTTCAGTGAGGGAGACGGCGGGTCCTGTCTTCAGGCTCAAGGGGCCCTCCCGTGGCCACCCCAGAGCCCCAGGAGTGTCAACAAAGCTGCCCCATCTGATCAGGCGGGTCCTGTCTTCGGGCTCAGAGGGCCCTCCCATGGCCACCCCAGAGCCCCAGGAGTGTCAACAAAGCTGCCCCACATCTGATCAGGCGATCGCACCACATGGCTTTTGAGGGGCCGTGGATCGGCGACGGGCCCCACCTCCGTGGGACCTCGCTTCCGTGGGGCATCGCGCCCTTCCGCCGCCGTGCGGGGGGGCGCCGGCCGCACGTTCGGGGAGGGCGCGCGCCCCCCCCGATCCATGGACGTGGCGGCCGCGCGCCGAACCCACGTCTTTCAGCCACGCGCAGGGGGGGGGGGGGGGAGGGGGGGGGGCTTCTCAGAAGCACCCCTGCTGCTTAGAAGGCGCGGGCCTTATCTGTAGATGTAAGGCCGGCGCCTTCTAAGAAGCAGCCTCCTTCTCAGAAGCCCCCCCCCCTCCCTCCACCCCCTTGTGCGCGCCGCCAATGATCGCTAGTCCATGTTTGCGCGCCCCCGATCCGACATGAGGCAAAGGTGTCCCGAGGCAGGCGGGGCCTGCCTTCGGGCTTAAAGGGGGGCCCTCCCGTGGCCATCCCAGAGAGCCGCGGGGAGTGCCAGCCAAGCTGCTCCACGGGAGGGATGGTGCTGGCGAGAGCCCCAGGGGTCCAGGACCCCGTTCCCTCGGGACCCGCTCTCCGTGATGACAAGTGCAGCCAACCCGAATAGTAAGGTTACGTCGGGCCTGTCCCTCTACAGGGGGCATGTTCAAAAATATGTCAAAACATAGTCAGGGCATTTTGGAATATATGTATTTAGTATGTTTTGTTGTTCGTCGAAAATCCCCATTCTAGGGAGGGGGACACGCCCGACTTAATAGCATGGATGAGCAACTTTCCAAGGCCCATCCCTGGCCGCTTCCGCTGGCCGCGTCCCGCTCGCGCAAAGGGTCGGCGTGGCCGCCCTGGGCCCTTTGCATCCTTACCGCGCATCCTCGTGATCTTGGCATCGCTCGGACGTGTGCATTTTCTCCTCGGCGGGGACCATCGAGGAGCATCCTTGATCATTTGGCGAAAAAGAACCACGCACGAGATCAAACAAAACACAGGGAATGGACGTCCGAGCGATGGCCAGTGCTACGGGCTGACTGCAGCGGAGGGTCCACCCATCCCCCCTGATCCCCTCTGATGGGTACGATGGGCATGGGTGCGGGAAGACTGGGGACGACTGCCGGCAGCAGTCCCTGCCAAGTTTGGCCGGGACTCGGTGTCGGTGTCTCCGCGGCCGTCGTGCGTTTGAGTGAGACAAACATATCGCTTGTGGCCGCTCTGGGTATGCAGCGGTTGCTGCTGGGCACCGCTCCATTTTGCTGTCCTGTCCGTGCCCGTCTCGCGCGTCCAGATTTGGTGGGCCACACTCAAGGGAGGGAAAACCATCCAGACCCGGACAATTGGCGTTTCAGAAAAGGCCCGGGGCGTTTACTAAGCAGCCCTGCCTTGTTCGACTCCTTCCATGGGGGCGTTGACTAAACGGCTTCGCTTGTCGGGGTGATTCTTGCGGGGGTGGATTTCCTGCCCTCTGCATGTGTGTGCGAGCCGTGTGGATCCGACTCCCCCTCCACTGGTCGTCCTCCCCCTGGTCGCGAATTCTCTTCACTCATCGTCCATGCTCCTCGCTCCTCCTCCTCCTCCTCCTCCTCCTGCTCCTCCTCCTCCCCTTCCTCCTCCTCCTCCTCCTCCTCCTCCTCCTCCTCCTCCTCCTCCTTCTCCTCCTCCTCCTCCTCCACTCCCTGCGCTGACCCAGGCCTCCGAGCCGCTCCTCGTGGCCGGCGGGGGTCCGCGACCCGGGCCGGCGCCGGCCAGGGCCCAGCAGTCATAGCGAGTCCCCGACAAGACTCAGGCGGGGAAGACAGAACACAGACACAGTCAGTCGTCGGCTCCCAGGAATATATATATATATATATATATAGGGAAAATGCGGGAAGTGGGGGGGGGGCAGACGAAAATTCTGGAATTGTGGGAACATCTGGGGCCTCCTGGGATTTGTGTGTGTGTGTGTCTATCTGCGTGCCCCTGGGCCCCTCGAAGGACGGCGGAGGGGGGGAGAGATCCGGGCGGCTCCCCGCCCGCGGAGGGTCGGCGGGAAGGCAGCGGCAGCGGGCTCCTCGAGAGAGAGACGAGGCCACGGCCGGCGAGCCGAGGCATCTCGCTGGAGCTGGCGCCACGCCCTGGCGTAGGTCGGGCGTGCCCCTCTACAGGAGGAATATTCGAAAATAGTCAGAAAATAGGCTGGGGACTACTGTTTGAGTATTTTTGACCATTTTGGGTTATTGTTCCCCATATCCTAAGATGGGGTTCTTGTTAGTTCTTGGACGCCGCCGACTCCAGAGAACAATGATACACCCAGAACACAGACTTACTCATGCGCAGACTTGCTCATACTCAGACTTACTCATACCCAGACGTACTCATACACAGACTTACTCATACCCAGATTCACTCATACACAGACTTACTCATATTCAGACTTACTCATACCCAGACGTACACATACACAGACTTACTCATACTCAGACTTACTCAGACCCAACACATACTCAGACCTTCTCATAGTCTGAGTTACTCAACACACGGCAGATTTTGAGGATGTCTCAGGCGGGGCGCTGGCTTCAGCACCCCTAAGGGGAGCCGCCAGGGGGTATATCACGGGCCCGTTCGCGGCCAGTCTGTGGGGATGTCTCAGGCGGTTTGCCTGTTTCGGTGCCCAACATCGTCTGCGTCTACAGCAGATTTAGAGGATGTCTCAGGCGGTGCGCTGGTTCCAGCACTCCTAAGGGGAGCCGCCAGGGGGTATATCACGGGCCCGTTCGCGGCCAGTTTGTAGGGATGTCACAGGCGGTTTGCCTGTTTAACCTGCTCAAGCAATGTGCTGCGTGCCCGAGCACCTGTCCTCAAGCTGGCGGGGGCCTCCCCCTCCCCCCGCCAGACTCGCCTCCGGCGCAGGAGCGGGAGCAGACGGAGGAAAATTCCCCCCCCCCCCCCACTCCCCCCCCCGTGCCCGCGAGGCGGAGGGGGCCGGAGGAGGGCTCGCTCCCCGTCTCTCCTCCGCTGCGTCTGCCGCGCTTCCCTGGGGCCCGACGCTCCGGGGCATCACAGGCCCACGTTCCAAAAAGCACAGAGAGATTCCCCCCCCCCGCAGGGCAGAGATGCCTGTCGTGTGTTCCCGCCTGCGCCCGTGCCATCGGTCCTTTCGATCCAGTCGGCCCAATTCTTTGTGAATATATATATATATATATATATATATACATATATGTATAGATGGTCGGTCCCCCCCCCCAGCGACCCCCCAGAGCGCTCCAAGCACGAAGCCGCGGTGATCGCTGCTGTCCTCCCTGTGCTCTTTCCAATGTCTCGTTTCCCCTCTTTCGTTTCCGTCCACTTTCCAATTGTTTGTTTCCTTCCACTTTCCCCATTTCCATTTCCACACTGGCCAGGCCCGATCTCATTCCGATGTTCCGACTGTCCGATGCGGCCCTATGTCTGCCGATCCGATGCGACTCTGATTTCGTGCCGATGCGGCCCGATCCGACGCACATTCCGATTCTATCCGATTTCCTCAATTCGATGTTTGTTGATTTTGCTATCCCTGAGGAAACGCTGGTAGCTTTCACGTTTCCCCTGCCCCCCGTAGGATCGGAAGAACATGCTCCAGAAGTTCGCGGGCCCCGATTTCAAGAGGACGGCCACCGTCATCATGGGCGAGCCCACCGCGGAGTTCAAGGCACGAGGAGAATGAGGAGAATGAGAATTACTACGAGGAGTGGGAACGGGGGGCGAAGAGTATTGGAGCGGAACATCGTTGAGAAGGATGATATGCGGTTGCGAGAGGGGGCATGAGGAGGAAGCGGAGGAGAAGGAGGAGGAGGAGGAGGAGGAGGAGGCGGATTGGTCGGAGGAGTGACACCAGGAGCAGGAGAAGGAGGGGGAGGAGGCAGGAGGTTTAGGATGACGATGAGAACCGGCATGAGCACGGAGGAGGGGGGGGAGTAAGGGAGAAGAGGATTATTGTTGACAGTGGGGGTGATGAGGGGGCTTGGCGAGGGTGAGAGGAGGCGCAGGAAGGAGTCGTCGCCTTTGCTGTTCTCGTGCGGCCGTCGCCCCATATGAGAGAGCACGGCATGGCGCGCCCGGCTGCGTGCCCTCCCGAGGCAAAGGTCCAGGAGATCACGCTCGCGGCCAAGCAGGCGGAGGCCAACAAGGAGAAAAAGAAGAAGGCCGGGACTGGTCCAAGTCTTGCGCTCTCACCAGTCCCTCTCTCCTCCCGCTGCTTTCCTCCCACCCTTTCTCCTATATGCCGCCCCCCCCCCTTGATGTTTTCTCCTCAACGCGCGTGGACCTTTCCCTCAATCCTCCCCGCCGCACTCAGGCTCATCCTTACGGGGGCCAGGACCCCCCCGATCTTCCTCTCCGAATGCTGCCTCCCTCCCCCTGCAGGTTCGAGATTCCTCTTGTGTCTTGCCCTTCTCCCTCTAGCCCCTACAGTCGGGGCCCTGAAGAAGGAACCCTTTTCGTTGGGGAGGGGCTCCGTGTTCCTTAATTGTTCCGCAGCTTGCCTCAGGTTGTCCTAATGGTTTCGATCGGAAGTCGAAGCTTAACTTATGGAAAAAAGGGGCCTCGTTCCTTATTGAGGGTTCCTTAGGTCAACGCCCCGACTGTATCCCCTCCCCTCCCCTCCCAGCTGGAGTGCTCTCGAGCGCGCTGCGCAGAGCGTGGCCCCGTGCTCGTGCGGCCCGGGTGCGGCAGCCCGTGCGGTGACCCGGGGCGCTGGCCGTGCTCTCTGGCGTGGCCGCGTGTCCTCCGCGTGGCCGGGCGGTCGCCCCGCGCCACGGCGCTTCGTGCCCGACGGCCGAAGAGAGCGCACGCTCCCGGCAGCCTCCGCGGCCTGCGGGGGGCACCGCACGTGCACGGGAGAGGTACAGCCAGCCCGCGCAGTAAGGAGAGAGCAATTTTCCCAAGGTGCACCCTTTGCAGCCTTCCCTCCTCGGTCCATCCCTGGCCACTCGTCGGCCGACGCGCCGCTCGAAGAGCCTCGAGGTGGCCCTCCAGAGGCCCTTGCATCCTCCTCGTGCGCCCTTCTGCTATATATGGGCTGCCTGTCTTGGAGCTGGTCACGCCTTCGCGGCTGCCTCTGGCGAGAGGAGGAGGAGGAGGAGGAGGAGGAGGAGGAGGAGGATGAGGAGGAGGAGCCCTTTCTTTGTTTTGGGGGGTGGGGCCCGCTCTCTCCGGGAGGCCCATGGAGCAGGCGGCCCTACACGGTTGCGGGCCATTCCGAGGACGGTTGCGGCGCTGAGCAACGACGGGCACGCAACGAATCACGACAGACTTGGCAACGATCGGGTCTCAGCATCGTTTAATCAATCCCCATCCCATCCCCATCCCCTTCGAGACCCCCACCAAATTACCATCCCAGTTGGGGATACACCCCTCGAAGCCCAAAGAGAACGACCTATATCCCCACGCCGCTGGGGATGGGGATCCGTTGAACGATACTCAACTATCGACTTGGCAACGATCCGACTCTCATCGGCATGGCAATCGAAACGGTCGCCGCCCTGCCGTAGTCTTACTCGGCAGGGCCCATGCGGCAGCACGCCATGCTACGCCTCTCTCGCCGCACGGCACGGCAGCACACAGGGTTGCGCAGGACATGATTTGCGGCGTCGGGGGACTCCAATTGGCATGCCGCACGCGCCAGCAGAAGTTTCGCCAGGCTGCGCATCATCCCGCCGAGGCGCCCCACCCAGGCGACCTGGATACTGGCAGCGCACCCAGTGAGGACGCGCGCCTTCATCTGGGGTGCCCTTGTGTCCTTGCCTCTGCGGCCCGTACTTTGCCGTTTTCACTGGTCGCCCGCCGCCCAGAAAAATGTTCCAATTTCGGCCTCCAAGGGTCTTGCGTCCTTGCCACCCGCCCTGAATCTACATTTTGACTGCACGCTCTTACCATGCTCATGGGTCGTATGAGCATCGGGTGCGCAAAGGAGGTGGCCATGTTCGAGCGTGAGCAGCTTCACGCGACTGTTGTGACAATTACTTCGCCGCTGAATCCGCCGCAGCAAGTGGTCGAGCACACATCGTAGATGGATGTGAGGCGTTCCAGAAAGGGCCTCGCCTTCGAGGATCGAAGGAGTTGCCAACTCTTTCTCGGCGGAGGGCAGCGGATGGGCGGCGGATGGTGGAAGCCGAGGACGGCTCAGCCAGCAGAAGGCGGCGGAAATGCCAGATGCACCCCCAAGAGTTGCCCTTTTTGGATTCAGAGATTCAGGAATCGGTCATGTGAAGAATGGTGGGCTAGTGGGAATCGTCACCACCTGGGGCCTCAATTGGCTTCCGTGAGCTGGACTCGGGATGACTTGGTGTCTCCTATGGAGCTTCGGGGGTGGGGCTGATCCACGCATCGCGCCCTCCCCTGCACGGGAGTTTGTTGCCGTGGTCCCCCCAGCAGCACAGCATTTTGGAGGGCGAACAGAAGCAATACAAGCAAGGGTTCCCTATCTTAGCTGCCCTGATGCGCCCGTGTTGGAGCGCAGCGCGTGCCGTGTTCAAAGCGTCCGTGCTGTCAACACGCCGCGTGCTGGTTCGGCACGTGCTTGTCCACGTTTTGGCGAGCGCCTCGTGCCCGACCTACGCCTTCGGTGTACGAGTTGGGCTCCGCAGCGATTCGCTACAGTCGGGGCGCTGAGGAAGGAACCCTTTTCGTTGGGGAGGGGCTCGGTGTTCCTTAGCTGTGTTGCAGTTCGCCCTTGGTTTTGCTTAGGGTTTCGATGGGAAATCGAAGTTTAACTTTTGGAGAAGTGGGGCCTCGTTCCTCATTTAGGGTTCCTGAGGTCAACGCAACGCCCCTTCTGTACGTGATGCGTTTTGCATATCAGGGCTATCAGGTCCTTTATTCCATGCCCTCGCCGTGAGCCGACCGCGCCATCGAGCGGTGGCGCTGGTCTCTCCCCTCGCGCCCTGCGCGGCTGCCGGTGGGCGGGCCCGCGCCCCCCCGCACCCCCCTTTGCCACGCGGCCCCAGGCTCGGCACGGCTGCCGGCAGGCTCCCTTGCACACTGCTGCGGCCTAGCTTCTCGACCGCCCTGGACTGCCGTCCACGGCGGCCCACAGCCTCGACCACGCCGCGACGACGCGGCCGCCAGCGTCAGCCGCAGGGAGCGAGCCCCGACGTTCCAATCCGCTTGGATGGAGAGCCTTCCCGGGCAAGACGCCGTGGCGGGCGCTCACCAAGTGGCGGCTCTAGCCGCTGGCCGTGCCTTCGCCAAGGCAGGTCGCCAGTCTTGGCTGCCTCGAGGCGCCCGTTTTGAGACGCAACACGTGGCGTGCTCAAGACGTCCATGCCGATGCGTTGCGTGTTGGCTCAGCGTGTTGGCCCACGTTTTGGCGAACGCATCGCGGCAGACCTACGTTTCCAGTCTACGTGTTAATTTCCGTGTTAACACGCTACGTGTTGCGTGTTGCGTATCGGGGCCGCTAAGTCGCCAATGCTCGAAGAAGGCGCCGCCAGGGGGCTCCAACGCAGCTCCAAGGACTCCGCGCGAACCGGCCAAAGTTTGTGCTTATGCGGGCTTCTGTTCATCGCACTACATCGGGAGGGTCCGCTCCGAGCGGCGCGCTGAGCCAGGTGCCGATCCAAGCCACGCGACGCGTGAAGCGGCAAGGCCGCTTCGGGTCTTGCTTTGAGCACGGGCGCCGCGGCCGGGAAGCTGGCGGCGTGAAGAACACCCGGAGCGCGGTTGGCCTTCGTCCCGTTGGGGTGGCAGGTTTCGAACAGAGGTGCGGGGTGCACCTGCGCGCGTGCGAAGATCGAGGAGGAGGGAGGAGGCCCGTGGAGGATGGGGATGAAGAAACGAAGTGGAGGAGTGTTCCGACTCACCTCGCAAGACCCTGCTGCACTGACGGTACCGACCGTTCACTGGCAGGTCAGGCGCTTGTGGCGGCGCTAGTGAAAGTATGAACTTGTTGCGACAGAGTGTGCTGGTGGATTGCATATCCTTCGAGGGTGGCTGGCCCCTGTCTGGGCAATGGACAGACGAAGACAATGTGTCTGGAGAGCATACCAGCATCCGCTTGAGCGGTATGACAACCACTTCCATCTAAGTGCGCACGTCCGCCAGCAATGCCGCTTGACTGCGTCCTGGAAGTCTGTGCCTCGTGCGTGGGCACGTGTGGACCCCAGGCCTTGCCGCCAGGCTGCGTCGTGCAACATGCATATCGCACCAGTACGAGACATTAACATACCATGCCATGAGTGCCATGGATGTTGGTCGTGGGGCATTCACCGGTTGCAACATTCACGTGAGGAGCGCGAGTCCCATATGCGCGCACACCCTCAGCGAAGATGTCTGACATCGGACTCGCCGCGACCAGGAAATACAGACGTGAGAAGGCCCATTCCTGCGCCCCGCGACTTCCAGAGGCAGTCCGGGGGAAGATCGCAAGGGGAGTGGGAGGGGCAGAGGGAATGGGAGAGGAGGGCAAAGAGTTGCAGGGGCGGCAGGGGCAGGAACATGCCGAGATGGGAGAAGGAGGCGGAGGAGGAGGAGGTGGAGGAGAAAGAGGAGGAGGAGGAGGAGGAGGAGGAGGAGGTGGAGTTGGAGGCGAAAGAGGAGGAGATGGAAGAAGGAGGAGGAGGAGGAGGAGGAGGAGGAGGAGGAGGAGGAGGAGGAGGAGGAGAAGAAGGAGTACGGAGGAGGATGGGAAGGAACACGGAGGAGGACGAGGAGGACGAGGAGGAGGAGGAGTAGGAGGAGCATGAGGAGCCCCCGGGGGGGAAAGAGGACGGAGGCCAGCGCGCGAGGCCCAGGAGGCGGAGCGCAAGCGGGCTCTGGAGGAGAAGAAGAAGAAGGCCGAGGACCGCGGCAGCAGTGCTGCACAGCCGCCTCCCCGCGTACCCGCCGGTCGTTGAAAGTAGGTATTTTTGGATTCCCGGATCCCAATCTACTTCAAGCGCCTTCCTACTTCAAGAATCGGCACGCTTTGGCTGTGTTTTGCAGTTCTCTGGGAGGACCTGGACCCAATCCACTTTATCCGCCTTCCCACTTCATGTTTCTACCTACTTTCTCCGACCGGCGTGTAATCATTGCACTCCCGCTCGTCATCTTCGTCTTCTTCCCTCAGAGGCCAGAAGGCACGAGGGCGCAAGCATCTTCAGTTTCGGCTTCAACTGCAGGCGCACCGCGAAGCATCTCTTTCGGGCCAGCTCGCCCGAGTCGGTCTTCCGCTCACATGGGTGCCTCCGTCCTTCCTTCCCCCTGCCTCCTTATACCTCAGGCGTTGACTCCCAGGGTGCCTGGCCACGAGAGGTCACGCCAGGCATGGCGTCGGAAGGTTTTCCCGCAACTGGTTTCACGGTATGCGCCGCTTCTCTCGAACCTGCGTCGGCCGTTGTCGTTGCGATGTTCCGCCACGTTTCTGCTCCTCCCCCATCGTTCTCCGCCTCCTGCCTTCTCCTCTTCATCGTCCTCTTCGCTCCCCACGTCCCTACTCGTCCACTTAACTCCCCCTCCCACCCCCACAGCTCCTCGCCCTCATCGACGTCATCGTGCCTTGTCCTCCTTCCCTATCCTCCTCTTCCTCCTCATCATCATACTCATCATCAGAGTGAGGGGACCGAACGGTCATTCATTGTCCCTGGGTGCGTGGCTCTAGTGGGGATCCATGGTGAGGATTCTGCTTGTTGCGTCGTTGTTGTAGATGTTGTTGTTGAATTCTCACTACTGAAGAATAATTCTTGTTGATCCCCCCCATCTGGTGCACATTGTATTTTACCTTGTTTTTCTGAAGAGAAAGTCTTACTCTTCAAACTGTGCCCCTGGCCCACGGTTTACAACGGCAACGGCTCCCGCTTGATACTTCCTCGAAATTTACTCCGGTCCCCCGCTCCCGCTTGAGACTTCCTCGCAATTTACTCAAGAATCGCGCTCCCACCAAAGACTTTTCACAATTTACTCAGGTGCCGCGCTCTTGCCATTTTGGAATCGCGCGTTCGCTGGGGACTTCCTGAAATTTACTTAGGAATCGCTCTCTCGCTGGAAATTTTGTTGGCGAATCACGCAGAACTCACGATCCGCCCGGTTTACAACGACAACAGTGGTTCCGCCTGCTAATTCCTCACAGTGTGCAATGTCGGCTCTCGCGCGGGATTTCCTCACAATTTATTAAAGAATCGAGCTCTCGCATGGGAATTCCCTTGCATTTCTTCAGTCGCCGCGCCTTCGACACTCAGAAATCAGGCTCTCGCTTTGGATTTCCTCACGATTTACTTTGTAATCGCGCTATCGCTCGAGACTTCCTCGCGATTCATGCAGGACGCTCGCTTCAGCAACCTGCCTGGTCGACCTGTCGACCTGGCCGCCTGGGCCCGCTTTCCCGACCCGCCCGTAACGGTTTGTCCGCCCGATACGCCCGTCTGATTTTGCCACGTGTTTTTTATGTTCCTAGCTCCCCTCCTGCCAATTCTCTCGTGGTCCATCCTCCTTCCCCCGTTGTCCCTTCCTTCCATCCGTCCTCCCTTCCCCTGCCCCAGGGGCTCCACGAAGTAAACGCTGCAGGTAAGAAAGGTATAGATACCCCCAAGGGGGCACGATCAAAGACGAAGAGAGCGGGTATCGAGGTTTTGGGATATACATGTTGAATGGCACGCGCGTCGTTAAGAGCGAACAGTCTTAAACTGATTGTTGTTGCTGCTGCTGTTGTTGTTGTTGGTGTTGTTGTGCTGTTGAACTCTCACTTCTGAAGAATAATTATTGTTGATCCCCCCGTCCGGTGGACATTGTTTTTTCGATTGAAGTGCTCTTCCCGGGGCTCGCACCCTGTTTTTTATCAGGGCACGTCTTGAGGGTCAAACTGTGCTGTAGGCCCCGGGCTTACAACAACAAAAGCTCCCGCCTTGTACGCTTTCACAATTGATTGAAGAATCGCGCTCTCGCGTTGGACTTCCTTGCAATTTGCCACCGGATCGCAGTTCCCGCTTGACTCTTCCTTATAATGTATTGAAGAATCGCGCTCTCGCTTGGGACTTCCTAGCAATTTACCACCGCATCGCGGCTCCCGCCTGATACTTCCACACAAAGTATTCAGATGCCGCTCCTCGACACTCAGGAATCGCGCTCCCGCTGCATATTGCCTGGCGGTTCAAGCAGAATTTACGCTTCAACGACCCGCCCGCTCGACCCGCCCGTCTGGGCCTGCCCGCCCGACGAGCCCGTTAGGGACTGCAGTCGCCGCTCGCTGCCCTTCGCCTGCCTTCGATGCCCCTCGCTGCCCGTACTGGTTCCGCGGTCGCCTTCGCTCGCTGCCCTTCGTGGCCCCGTTGCTTCCCTCAGTGGCCCCGTCGCTGCCCATTGTGGCCCCGCATTATATGCCCTTCGGGGCCCACGCTCGCAGTCGCCCGTCGTGGCCCCATACGCATGCCCTTCAGAGCCCCGCTGTCGCCCTTCGTGGCCCTTTCGCTGCCCTTCGTGGCCCCTTTGCTGCCCTCAGTGGCCCCGCTATCGCCCATCGTGGCCCCATATACGAATGCCCTTCGTGGCCCCCGCTCGTTCGCGCCCGTCGTGGCCCCGTATGCATGCCCTTCGTGGCCCCGCTGTCGTGGCCCCCTCTCTGCCCTTCGTGGCCCCGTTTCTGCCCTCAGCGGCCCCGTCGCTGCCCTCTGTGGCCCTGGATTAATTGCCCTTCGTGGCCCCCGCTCGCTCGCGCCCTTCGTGGTCCCATACGCATGCGTTTCGTCGCCCCGCTGTCGCCATTCGTGGCCCCCTCGCTGCCCTTTGTGGCCCACTTTCTGCGTTCAGTGGCCCCGCTGTCGCCCTTTCTGGCCCCATGTGTGTATGTCGTGGCCCCATATGCATGCCCTTCGTGGCCCCGCTGTCGCTCTTCGTGGCCCCCTCTCTGCCCTTCGTGGCCCCGTTTCTGCCCTCAGCGGCTCCGTCGCGGCCCCGTGTCTTCTCTACTCTTCCCGTTTATCTTCGTTTTAATTTCGTTCGTACTCCATCGTGCTATTCCTCAGTTCTTCGCATTCCGCCCACTCCTCCCCAGGCCACCCCATCCCACCCTAACAATCTCCACCCCTTCCCGCTCGCATTCCGCATTTCTCTCAAATTATTCCCAGTCTCTCCTCCAGATTCCTCCGTGCGCCCCCCCGCTCCTCCGCACTCCTCCCGGTTCTTCCTCTCCTCCACTCCTTGCCGCTCCTCCCCCTGAGACCCTATTCTTGTCCACTCCATCCCAATCCACTCCACATCCCCGCGTTCCTCTCCACACGGTTGCAGTTCTCACGATCCTTTCGCCCCACTCTCCCAACATCCCGCCGCCTTTTCAGGGTTCCACGACATATGTTTCTGGCACCCGTTCGCACTTGTACGTCCCCCCTTGAGGCTATCCACTTCTTTTGTGCTTATGATTATTATGTTTTCTTTTGTTCCAAGGGGGTGGTACGTGGCGCTGTTTATTGCCCGACCCATGGCGAAACTTATTTTCAACCTGTGTTGGAGTGGCTGGCGCAAGCTGAATCGCCACCCACAGCGCAAATCATGGCCCTCCCTCCTTCTTGCCCCCCCTCTCCCTTCGTCCGAACCCTTCGCTTTCATTCCCCCCCGTTATCGGTTGCCCTTCGTTTTCGGGGGTTTCACCAGCCGCACGTGGCAGGGAATGAATATACCCCCCAAACGGAGGTACGATCGAAGACGAGGAGGGCGGGTATCCAGGGTTTGGAATATGCATATTGAATGGCACGCGAGCAGACAAGAGCGAACCATATTAAAATGATTGGTGTCGTTGTTGCTGTTGTTGTCGGTGGTGTTGTTGTTGTCGTTGAACTCCCACTTCTGATGAATAAGTATTGCGGATCCCCCCATACAGGCGCATGTTGTTTTTCTCACTCACAGTGTGCCCCTCGGCGCTCGCACCTTGTTTCTTGACCGGGGAAGTCGTGGTGCTCAAACTGTGCCCCTGGCCCCCTGGATTACAACAACAACGGCTCCCGCCTGAGACTTTCTCCAAATTTATTCAAGACCCCAGCTCCGACGATTTCCTTACAGTTTACTCAGGATCGGTGTTCCCGCTTGTGACTTCCTCGCAAGTTAGGACCCCCGCTCCCATCTGAGACTTCCTCACAATTTACTCAGGGACGGCGCTCCCGTTTGAGACTGTTTCGCAATTGCATCACAATTTCCTCGCAATGAAATCGAGACCCCCGCTCCCGCCAGAGAACCCTTTCACACGTTATTCAGGAATTGCGTTGTCGCCTGTGACCCCCATGCGATGTATTCAGAAATCGCGCTTTCGACGCTCAGGAAACACGCTTCGCCACGGACGTCTCTACGATTTACTTAGTAACCGCGCTCTCTCGCCATATTGAGGCATCCCGCTTGAATGTCCCGCCCGCCCGACCCGCCCGTCAGGGGATCGCCCGCCCGTCGTGGGTTCCCGCCCGAGACTTCCTTTTCGCCGGGGACTTCCTCGAACGTTCACGTTCTTACCTTCCTGCTCCCCTTCCCTCCTCCCTCCTCTCCTCCCTTCTCTCTCCGTCCTCTCTTCCCTCATCCTTATGCCTGTCTGCGCTATCCCCTCTCCCTCCTGTCTCTCCTCCTTTCTCCCTCCCCTCTCCTTCCTCCTCCCTGCCTTTGTCTTCCTCTCTCTCCCCTCTCTCTCTTTCTCTCTCTCTCTCTCTCTTTCTCTCTCTCTCTCTCTGTCTCTCTTTCTTACTATACCGCTCTTATATGTTTGTTTGTTGGTTCTCCCTTGTCTGCCTCTGATCAACCGCCCCCCTCTTCGCTCCTTCTCTCCTGGCGTTGCCCCTCTTCCTTCGTCCCTCCCCTTCCTTCCTCCCACTCTCCCTTGTTATCCCCTTTCTCT